AATTGTGCCGTACTTCCGCTAGACAGTGTCACCACCACAGTAGCACAAGATCACTGTAAAGAACAGGCGAACAGTCCACGTTCTGTTTCCACGCGGGTTGTGCGAAAGCCAAAGAGACGTTGCCCCATGTGCCAGACTCCATTCGCCAACGAACGCTCGAACATAGCATGCTGTACCGTGTCTACTTTGCCGCAGTTTATACAGCGGTCATTTGGAACGACTCCCCATTGTGCTAACCTCTCACGCTCAGGCAATCCCCTCCATCTTCTCAACTAATCAAACTCGCGCACCTCATTAGGTAAGAGATTGCAACGCCACCGTTCCTGTTTTTTTGTGGAGGATTCTTTTTCTTCCTCTGAGCTCAGTTTGCTACTTGTCACCGTTTCACTTGTTTGCTGTGATGAAACATCTCCCAGACTGCATGTACCTATTGATTCAACTGTTTTTTTCAAGCCACTAGCAACTCTGCAAAACTTCAGCGGATCTGCCCGTGGTCCAATCTGCGGAGTTGTCGAGAAACTTTATTTCAGCGTACTGCTCCAGTACATTAAGAGCCAGTACCCGGGGTAATTTCCGTCATCGAAAAGCTTCCGTGATGTTTTTGCAGCCAGTGCTCTCGTGAACGTTGGCATGCATGCGAGATCAAGGCGTCCACGGCTTGTGGGAAGGTGTAAAAAAACTCTATTTGAACCTTTGCAGGTTTTGCTCCCCAGAGGAATGTTGCCACAGTAGAGGCGAGGCGTCCTGTTACGCGGCGAGGTAGAATGGCAATGCGCACAATGTAGAACGCAAAGGCACATGCTTGTGTCTTGATGACTGTTGCTTTTTCCCTTAGTGACAGGTTGAACTGAGTGGCTGCGGATATGACCAATGCGGATCTCCTAAGCACGTCCCCTCAGGTCCTTTTTGAGACATCTCTTTCTTCAAAGTAAATGCCTAACACGTTAACAGTTTCAACATACTTGAAGTCTCCTGGCAATAGTTGCGTAAAGCTCCCGAAGCGCAATGTTTTACACTTGGTTGTGTTTAAAAGCGCGCCACACAGATGGAAATACTGAAAAAAACAACTAAGAAATCTACTATAGCTAGACAATAATGAGTGTGTAAGTAATTAGGTAATTATTATGGCACCAGTCGGGCTTAGTACTTGCATAAAAAGTATCCACTACTAGGCCTGAAATGCAAGCCCAGTTTTTTTTTGTTGTTTTCGTTTGGAGCGAAGAAAATACTTTTCATGTTAGCCCTGGAACACGTCACGTCGAGCAATCGTCGAACGTGGTAGTGTATCCAGCAAAGGGATGTTCCGAAGCAATAGGCAGCATAATGAAGTTAAATTTTTGCCTGTTGTCCACTGCATTCACGAGGCCTGCACGTGTGTGCACACTAACTTTAAAGCCATTTGATGAAACACGCGCTGCGCGACATGTCGCTGAAGTTCACTTGCACATTTGTACACAGCAAGACTGAAAGGGTTGTAAACTAAAATACCGCTCCAGAAGGCCGACGATGAGCAAAATAGAGAAAAGATACCTGTGGTCCCATCTCTCTTATGCTTGGGCCTGATCAAGAGAAATAAGTATTTCTGTGATCTGTTTTTCCCTGTCATATGCGAAGAGGTCTCTAACGTTTGTAAGAAGCACGAAGACGGAACGTCCTATAGCGCTTCACATGACTGCAAGGGTTGCACAATCGCCTTAAAAAAGAAAAAAAAAAAGACTGCAGACGTCATAATATCAGCGTGTCTACTTACTTATAGTCCGTGTTTAGCAGGGTAATAAGCCTCCACGATTTTAGATCTGACGGCTTCGTAACCTCTATAAGGAATAGAGCCACCCTTCCTTGGCGGAAGGACGTTTGACCATTGTATGACGAAAGATTCACGAGTTCAGTGATCGCATCTCCCAAGATATCGAAGAATCGCAGATAAAATCCCAGGTGTATCCCCTCTGGATCTGGTGGCATAGACGTATTCATTGATTTTAGGGCGTATCATGTAATTCACGATTTTCTGCACATGATAGTAAACCGGCTTCCGAGCCCAGCGATGGCGAAATTTCAAAAAAGGGCGTGAGTTCGGTAAATTCGTCGTCCTGCGCTTCATTATTCGCAGCAAACAGTTTTCTAAAGTGGTCTCAAAAAACTTCTGGAACTTCATCCGGATCATTAAAAATGATGCCATTCTCTACCAATGCCTCATGGATGTGGTGGAGCTGGCATCGACAACCACGGTTTTTCTGCGCATGGGTCAAGTTCCCGATTCCGTCCTTCGCTAAGTGTAGTTCTACTGCTATAGCCTTGTAGTCTGATACCTTTACTTTAAAAGGCTTTGATATTTGATTTTTGTGCTCCAACATGTTCCAGCACAGTGAACGTGGTTGACCCACCTCTTTCCGTAATTTGAATACGCCGCAGAACACAGGTAGAGTGTTCCGAAAAGGTAATGATTTATTAAAATAGAAAAAAATTCTCATCCAATGTATTTAGAAAAAAAAACTGACAGCCTACCCACGGAGTGCATAATGATGAGTGGGTGAAGCTTCCGTCTGTAGGTCCGCGCTTTCGTCCATCTGTTCATTTTGATGCTTCCGTCCATCCGTGCGTCAGTCCACGCATCCGTCCATGTGACCATCCATGCGTCCGTCCGTACGGGCGCTCATCTGTGCGTTCCCCTCTGCGTTCGCCCATGCGTCCGTGCTTCCGTGCATCCATCCATGGATTCGCTCGCAGGATTTCAAGCTGGACGGTTGTGCCCTCGCGATCTCCGACTTCAGCGTAGCTCCCGCCGACTGGTTCGCCCTCCGCGGTCTCCTGACGCCGTGTAGCTCTCGCATTGTGGCACCCCGCCCTTGGACTGCTTCGACCGGATCCCCACTTTCCTATCTCCTTCTTTTTTCCTCTCGTTGGCTGTCTTCTTCTGCTTCTACTTTCCTTCTATTCTTTTTATCCCTCCTTCCCCCCACCCCTATAAGGCACTGCGCCGTGTCGCCTGAAGGCAGACAGAAATTAGGTGCCTTTTTCCTCTTCATTCTAATCACTACCACCACCATCCATCCATGCGTCCATCCATCTGCTTGTCTCTCTGTCCATGCGTCCATCCGTCCATTTAGTGAGCACTTTAGGTACCACCATATCGCATCTTTACTTAATATATTCACCACGTAGAAGTACCGCCATCTATCGGACATTCGAAGGCTTGAACGAGGCGTGGCTACCTGCTACTACTACAGCGACTACTACTACTAGATACATCGCGGGCGCGCCACCCGCGGCTTAAGAAGCTTCGCCCCTGGAATGGCTTTAACGACGTAGAGTGATTGGTACTTTTACATGGGAGAGCTGAAAGCCGTCCCGCAGGCCTCACACTTGATGAAGCTCTGTTGATAAAAATTGGCAAATCCCAGGTACAATGGGAATAGATAATACGCGAAGCACGAATCAGAAATGTTGATATGACACTTTAAAAACAGAAAAACGTTACGAGGTGGAGGTAAATGATGCCGTACACGACTTCCGTGTCATGACTATCATGTTTAGACGTGTCGTTTGCCTTCGTCATCAATTCACGTCACGTGATACCAAATTTAGTATATGTGAAGCTAGCGAAACGACCGCGAGCACTCTATGAGCGTGGTATGTTGTCATGTTCTTACATGACACGCGCGTCAGGATTATCATGTTTGCATCAGTCATATACTTCCGTCATCCATTGACGTCAAGTAATACCAAGTTTGGTGTATGTGGAGTTAGCGAAATGGCCGCGAGTGCATTATGAAAGGCCCAGAATACTTCAATTTAGCGTTGACGGGCGCACAGGCAAGGCACAGCGACGCTACGTTAGCAAAACGCGAGCACTCTATAGTCTGACGCCAGGCGCGACCGGCGCGACCAGCGTCCGTCGGCGCGGGCCGACGGCAACCGGCGCAAAATGCGACATGCTGCTTTCGCGCCGATGCGTTACCCTGACACACTGCGTCTTCCTCTTTTAGGGGCGAAGCTCCTTGAAGCGGCACCCGTTCGTCTCTCTTAGTAGTGCGTAACATGTCTTACGCTTTGACAAGCAAGGTGGTACCGGTGGGAGATTTATCCTGTGCGTTGTTGAACGATGAAAAATTCGCTGCGAGCGCGTTAACTAAAAGCCAAATTCTCCTGTCACTCATTCCCCCTTAGCAGCCATTGGCATGTACATTGAACACTATCTGACAAGAAAGGGTTCCTACGTTATACTCGCTGGGTGTAACCTCTTTAGTTTTCGAAAGGTTTAGCGAGCGTTGGGCCGCAGTGCCATGAATACAGTGAACTAGTATATACCATGAACTCGAGGTAGTTAAACGTGGGAAGTAGACACGAAGCGTAAGCCGTAAGAAAGTGTGCGTGTGCCACCTCTCGTTTAGTCCTTGCATGGAATTTCCGCTGGATGGCGGAGCTTCTATATGCGGTATATATGATGAAAAGATGCGAGATGGTGGTACTTGGAGTGTTGATTAGATGGACGAACGGACACACAGACAGATGCATGGACGGACGCACGGATGGCTACGCGGACAGATGGATGCATGGACGGACGCAGATACGGATACATGGACGAACGCAGGCACGAACGCACGGACTGCCGGATGGACGTACGGACGGTCACACAGACGGATGCGTGGACGAACGGAAGCAAGACCGAATGAACGGACGAATGCTTCGCCCTACTACTCTCCATCATTCACTCCGTGGATATGCTGCCATTTTTTGTGACGGAGAGACGCCGGACGCGCTGAAACGCGCATGCGTCAAAGCAACGCAGCGTGGCGCGTGCCTGCGAGCATATGGCAGGACCGGTTCCTGGCGTTGCAACACCGGCGTGACCCGACGAAATGAACGCCGGTGAGCACACGCACCGCGTCACGTCGAAATGTATTGGCGCCTTGATTGTGGCATGTAGTCATGTTCTCACATCATACACATTTCGTCATTATCATTGTTGAATCTCGTCCAGGGACTGACAAGGCCAAGGGTCCAACGGGCAAACAACAGCGTTTATTGCCGAAGCGTACGACTGGGGTTACATCACGGGAATGGAAGACAGTGCTTTGAGCGTTACCATTTAAGCACTAGTGGGCGCATGCGCACTAACGACAGTTCGGTTATCAGGTGTGCTATCGCGAACACCACACTTCCTCTGCTTTTATTCGGAAGCTAATAGTTCACGTTCCCTCTCAGAACCAATCAGGCGGTCGGCGATTTCGTAGCGGGTAGCGCCGATCCAGGTCGCCTCGAGAAGTGTCTGTCAGCAACGTCGGTGGTGAAGGCGAAACCCTAGCTGCAGGCAATGAAGGTGCTGGCTCCGGTTCGGTGTCACTCTGTGGCCACACGGAGAAACCGTCGTCTTGCGCGACGTCTTCGGCAAGCCCTGCCGTGCCTTGAAGTAGCTGGTTCTTGTGGCGCCGCCACTCGAAGCATCCTGAAGATGTCGACGCTCGTACCCTGAAAGACACTGGTCCACTTTGAGCCATCACCACAGCTGGTACCCATTTGGGCTGTCCCCTGTAATTTCGTGCAAGTACATGATCACCAACACTCACGTCACGCACACGACACTGTCGGTTCACCGTCTGTCTGAACTGATTGTAAGCCACCCTTTCCCCCACGGCGGGTTTGAGTACATCGAGGCGGGTGCGCAAACGTCGCCCCAACAACAAGTTGGCTGGTGCCTCGTGTGTCGTAGCGTGGGGCGTGTTGCGATAAGCGAGCAGAAACTTGTTGAGCTTTACCTTCATAGGTTGATGCACGTCATCCTTTTTTAGCGCGTTCTTCAGGGTCTGTACGAAACGCTCCGCAAGTCCATTGGTGCTGGGATTGTAGGGGGCTGTTTGCACGTGTCGGCAACCCATCTCCCTTACAAACTGCTTGAACTCCTCTGACGTGAACTGTGGGCCGTTATCCGACACGATTGTCTCAGGGAACCCAAAACGAGCGAAAACATCTCGTAAGCACTCAATTGTTGCATCTGCAGTAGTTGAACGCATCATAAAAACTTCGGGCCACTTCGAGTGAGCATCGACCACTATAAGAAACATTGACTGTTGAAATGGTCCTGCAAAATCTATATGTATGCGCTGCCACGGCGCTGAGGGCCAGGCCCAAGGGTGCAACGGAGCTTTGCAAGGGGCACTGCGCTGTTCTTGGCAATCTGTACATGACTGCACCATACGCTCAAGGTCCCCCTCGATGGACGGCCACCAGACGTAACTACGCGCAAGCGCCTTGCTGCGAACTATACCTGGGTGACCCTCGTGTAATTCGGCCAGAACTGCTCTCTGCAGCTTTGCGGGAATGACTACCCGCGTTCCCAGCAAAATGCATCCTCCATGCAATGTCAGTTGATTGCGTCTGGCGAAGTATTGTTTCAGTCTATGGTCATTGACAAATATTGGCCAGCCTGTGCTTATGCACTCTTTTACTTTCGCCAGATCGTTATCCTGCTCTGTGGCATGGGCAATTCCCTTGCTCGACACTGGTAGGGAGGCCAGCCGCAATGAATAGAAAGTCTCTTCCGACTCCTGCGTTTCGTCTTTCACACATGGTAGCGGCAAACGGGAGCAAAAATCGGCTTCTGCGTTATCGGCTGATTTTCTAAAAAGAAGGTCGTATCTGTATGCCGACAACGTCACAGCCCACCGCTGTAGGCGCGCAGCCGCGATAGGCGGAATACCTGTTGTTGGCCCCAAAATTTGCTGTAAGGGTTTATGATCAGTGATTAAAGTGAATGCGCGGCCATAAATATAGCAGTGAAACTTTTTTATGCCAAAGATTATGGCCAGCGCCTCTTTTTCAAGCTGGCTATATTTCTTCTCTGCCTCGGAAAGCGTGCGCGAAGCAAAAGCAACTGGCCTAGACTTCCCGTCCTCAAAAACATGGAGAGCACTGCACCTACCCCATACTGCGATGCGTCACAGGCCAGCTTTAATGGCCTATCCGGGTCGTAGTGGGCCAGCACCTGCGGCGATGACAGCATTCTTTTAACTTCGTTGAACGCGTCTCGGCAGCAGTCGTCCCAACACCAAGGAGCGTCTTTCCGTAAAAGCTGGTAAAAAGGCACAGCCATTGTTGAAAGATTAGGCACAAACTTTCCATAATAATTAACGACCCCCAGGAAGGACTGCAGTTGCTGCTTGTTTGTCGGTGCGGCAGCGTTTATGACTGCTTCAATTTTCTCTGGTGACGCAGATATTCCTGCTGCAGTAATTTTGTGCCCCAGGTAACAGAGCTCATTTTGAAAGAACGCGCATTTTTCTTTCTTTATTTTGACGCCTCGCTCCAGCAACCGTTTCAAGAGTGCGTCTAGGTTTACCAGGTGTTCTTCAGCGTTTCTTCCTGTGACTAAGATGTCATCGAGATAACAACAAACTCCGTTTAGGCCCTTCAGCATTGTGTCCATTATTTTCTGAAAAATACCTGGTGCTGACGCTATTCCGAAAGGTAGCCTGTTGACTGCAAACAGCCCTTTCCGCGTGTTCAAAGTCAAGTACTTCTTCGACTCTTCTGACATGAGTACTTGTTGGTATGCCCTGTTAAGGTCGATCTTACTAAAGTGCATTCCCCCGGCCAACGCAGCTAATAGGTCATCAATTTTAGGTAGCGGGTAGTGTGTGATGTCCAGAGAGGGGTTTATCGTTGTCTTATAATCCCCACAGAGACGTATGCTTCCATCTTTTTTATCACTGGCACGGCGGGCGTGGCATATTCTGATGTATTCACGGGTGTGAGTATTCCCAGCTGCACCAATTTTTCTATCTCTGCTTCTACTGCTGACTGCAGTGCGAATGGCACATTGCGTGCCTTCAGGAACCTCGGCCGGTGATCGGCTTTGAAGAACAGCTCGGCCCTTTCGTCTGTGATAGCGCCTAGCTCATCCTTAAACAGCATTTTGTATTTTTCGAGCAACGATTCTAGCCTTTCCTTCGTTCGCGAGGACAAGTCGAACACTGACCTTGAGACGTGGTTGAGGCCCCAAATCTGGTTCCAGTTTAGCCGTACTGTGCGCAGCCATTCACGCCCTAGCAGTGGTGGTCCTGCTTGATCGACGAGGTAGAGTGGTAGTTTCGCCGTCTGCTCCCCGTGCTGCACCTTGACGACCGCCACGCCGCAAGGTTGGACGAGTGCTCCGGTATAGGTGCGCAGGACGATGTCTGTTGGTCCGCATCTGGCTGAAGGGAACTGCTGCTTGAACTGCTTGTAAGGCATGATAGACACCGCGGCTCCCGTGTCAAGTTCCATTTCCACCAGTGCTCCATCTATTTTCAGTCCCACAAAAATAGGAGTGCGGCCGGACGCCACTTGTTCCGAAACGCCTATGGGTGGCACCTGCGTGACCACTTTCAGCGTTTTCACTCTCCGTTTCTGCTGATACCCGCCACAATATTGCCCGTTGCTGCGACAGGCCCTTTGAATATGCCCTTTCTTTCCACACTTATAGCACGTATTATTAACGTGAGGGCATACTGAATGAGTGTGGCTCGGAGAACCGCAGCGATAACAAGCCAGTCGCTGCTTACCGGAAATCGCTTGCGCCTCGTACAAATCAGCAGGGTCATAATTGCATTCTCCCTCCATTTTGTGCAGCTGTGTGGCCACTGACTCTACGACTCTAGTCTCGGCAACATTCTTCCGGGCCGCTTCCATGGCCAGGGCGCGCTCGACTGCTTTCGGGAACGTCAGTTTGTCGTCCTCGGTAAAGAGTACTCGCTGCACGTCCTCTCGCAGTAGTCCACAGACAAAACGATCCCGCAGCGCTTCGTCCAAATTTGCTCCAAACTGACAACTCTGGGACAACTTCCGAAGTTCAGCAACATATTCGGGCAGAGACTCGCCTTCGTGCTGTGCTCTGCGGTAAAACTTTGCTCGTTCCCCGATTATGGACGGCTTTGGGGCAAGATGTGCATCCAAGAGGCTCTTCAGTTGCTCGAAACTTTTTCCCGATGGTAGGTCCGGTGCAGCCAACGACTTCAGCAACCCATACGTACGCGGTCCGATGATGCTGAGGAATGCGTGTACCTTGTCGCTGTCGGGAACCTTGTTGACAATCAGAAAAGAGGTCAACCTCTCCTTGTATGCCGTCCAGTCGCTTGCAGTAACGTCGAATGACTCCATCTGGCCCAGCTGCCCTCTGCTCACCATCTGGCCCAGCTGCTCACCAGACCGCATTGTCGCTTCTTCACCACACTGCTCGCTACTCTTCATTTTTCATCCCATCCTCGTCGCCAGTGTTGAATCTCGTCCAGGGACTGACAAGGCCAAGGGTCCAACGGGCAAACAACAGCGTTTATTGCCGAAGCGTACGACTGGGGTTACATCACGGGAATGGAAGACAGTGCTTTGAGCGTTACCATTTAAGCACTAGTGGGCGCATGCGCACTAACGACAGTTCGGTTATCAGGTGTGCTATCGCGAACACCACAATCATGTTTGCACCAGTCGCATACCTTCGTCATTCATTGATGTCACGCAATACTAAATTTGGAATATGTAAAACTAGCGAAACGGCCGCGAGCGCATCATGAGCGTAGCATGTAGTCATGTTGTTACGTGGCATGCATGTCACGATTATCATGTTTGGGTCTGTCGCTTGTGTTCGCCATGCAATTATGTCATACCATACCAGTTTTGCAACATTCCATGTGAACGAAACCACCTCAAGAGTTTCAGGACCATGAAATGTAAATCATGACATTCATGGCATACATGTCATGATTTTCATGTTATAACTAGTCACATATGTTCTTCATAGTCATGTGATGCCCTACCAATTTTGGTTATTGATACCATTATTGAAACACCCAGGAGAGCTAAAATTAGTAGGCGGCTAGATAGATAGATAAATAAATACGCGTAAAGTCGCCGAAGTCCACCAAGGAATGCTTCGCACTTATCAAGTCAGGCATTACTCCGTAGGTTCGAGGATCGGCCAACCATCTATGCACAAGTGACGGAGGCTCCACGTATTGTTTAGAAAAAAAAATTATTTCTACAAACGTCAATAACACCTAGCAGAACATTTCCTTCTTAGACACACTCCTTAGTGCTGCCACCTGCACACCTATTTTTGTTAAGCCTGTAAATCAGCAGTTGCAACAGGCCTCGTATATTCTAACAATGATTCGAGAGGACAGAAAGTTTGCGACACCACATAACGCCACTGTCATGCTGATGCAAGCATATGCCATCGCAAAAAGTCTTCGCAATTTCACAAGGTTTTCCTCAAGTTTTAGAAGTAAATGTAGCTTGAAATTGTACCAATCACACGATTAGGCACCACCACTAAAAATAATTTCGATATGCTCAACATCCTTTAATATATCATCACCAAATTCAAAGTATGAAGTGCACATTTCTCGAAGAGAGTGATCCAAAAAAAAAAGCAAAACTACAACACAAGGCACTTCAATATATCGGAGCCCGTGATAAACACCGGGCCCGCAACACAGTGATCTCTGTTTTGGAGGACCAAATAAAAGTTTATCCAATCCAATCCAGTCCGCATGATTCAGCATCGCTGGTTAATTATCTGCACGAAACGCTCAAGCGGTGAGGTTATTAAACCTCTCTCCCCTTACCCTCTCTCCAAAATCACCTGATGTCATAGTGGCCCATGAGGCCACGCTTCTTCGTCAGACGTCTCGTTGCAGCATTCTAGTTGGCCAGATAGCTCCCACCAAGGAGGATTAAAAAAAAAAAAATTGCTGGAGTGGAAGCTCCCGCAGTGCCTTGCCAGCAGAAGTGAGGCCACCTTTTTCCACTGCCAAGATGGCGGAAACATGCTCTTTTCTGATGGTGCCCACTTAAAGATCAAGTGGCTTTGATATGTTATGTAAATCCTACGTTAGTTTTATGTTAAAAGATTGTTGTTCCCGACGAAATAACACACAGAAACGAGTATAGATGACTAAATCTTCAAGGAACTTTGCCTCCAATTAGGGGCTGACTACGGAAAACATGTAACCTTAAGACACACTTGGAGCACTATGTGGCCCGAAAAAGTTCCCACATTAAACTCGTTGGGCGTGCAAGGAAAAAGCTTCGTTTTTAATCGCAAGACGGTGATACTTTATCATGCCCCTAGTAAGATGGCCGCCACAGCTGCCATTTTGCCAGAGGAACGGCTTCACTGCTGCGCAATCATTTTCACTCCAGCAAATTTTTCCTCCTTGGCTCCCACGCGCACACGTCTCCCCTATTGGCCTCGATTATGGCGCCACCTACGTGATGATGTCACTCATAGGATGCCGGGTTGACTTTGTCTGCTAGAACACCGCATTTCCTGCACTTTTGCTGTGGACGCCGTGCGTGCTTCCCTTTGTTTTGAAGCTCAGTGCTTAAAGAAGCGGTAAGACCTACGGGCAAGCAAACTACGAATTAGTGCCCCCTGTGGCACTATCGTGTCTCATTTGCATCGTAAAATTGCGATCAGTGCAGCCATAAGGGACGGTGCAAGTGGTGTAGAGAAATATGCTACATAAAGAATGGCCACTGGTGCCTTTTCGCGGACCAGCAAGAAAGGGTTTTACCAACCATTTGGTGGCGCCCTTTTATTCCTTTGTTAAGGCATGTCAATAGCCTCCTTAGGAGGGCTATGAATACCCAAGTTTGACGTCAATTTTTTGTAGAAGAATAAATTTTATTAACTCGTGTAATTTTTCATATCTGCTCTACATCATGTTCCGCTTAGGACATTTAATGCCTTAAAACAGAAAAGAGCAACGTACTGAGTAGAAAGTGTTGTCCTTTTGCCATCTGTTTTGTGCAAAGAGGCACAATCGTGTAGTTTAGATGTATACTGTACGTGTATTCCCTTTGCGGACACATGGGCGTGCAATTTAGTTGTAAAGACACTCGCCTTC